TTTATCTGCCTGGTTGGAAGACATCAGCCCTTAAAAGATGTGTTTCGTCACCAGAATAACTTTTGGGTTGCACTCTCTATGACCCCTATAGCTACAAATGTATTAATAGCATACTTGTGTTATAACACTATATAAGTCATGTTAAAAGCACACATACATTCATAATGGTTCAACATTAATTATAATTTATTGTTAAGCATATATAATGAGTTAAAATCTAAGTATCATTGCTAGTCACGCACAGATTTGTGTTGTCCTTCATAGATTGAATGTCTTTTTTTAGAACTTTATTCAAAACAACTATAGACTACTTTCTTTGACTTGTACTATTTCTGCCTCTAACCCAGAAAGCACCCAATGAGCACTTAGAATGAGAATGATCACCGTTATAATCTCCATTATAATGAAAATGGTGTTTATAATATTACAACCGTGGAAAATATAATACACCTATACAAAAAATGTCAGTAATTGACCAGAAATAAGTAAATATTCAAATTGTAGGTAATTATAAAGTTCCTTATAATGTTGTAATAATTGTTATAAAGCAGGACGAACATTTTGAGTGCTGCTAATAACTATGCGTATACAATGCTTTAAGCCTGTTATAGCGCATTTCAATAGTGTTTATAGCACATTATAGAGATAAATGTCATTTGAAGTGCCAGCCATCTTTCTAACCGTTGAGTCCTGAGAGTCGTTGGAACCTGTTGACCCCACTCTTGACCGACTAGTACAAAAACATTACTTCCAGTTAAACTGTTCAACAAAATCCTGCTTTTGCCCCTCTGAACCTGTTTTCCAGTGGATATGTCTGGGTTTACTGAGGTCTGTTTTTATGCCCACCTTCGGCTGACTGCCTGATCTCAGGGGTCGATATTTGCTGAGCAGAATCCATAAGTATCGCCTTCTGTTTGCAGTTCGGTCTTGCACTTATATTTACGTTCAGCACCCAAATAGTTTTTGTTTACCATTTTGTCTCAATGCAACTTAAATCATTTCTATATATCTGGATTGAATCCTGCAGTGGGAAGGATGAGGGAACATGCTGGCATGATGGAGGAAGAGAAGAGTTTGACCTGAAGGTTATTGCAACTGAGGCAGAAATAGCAAATCAGTGAGTCTGGAGTGAGGGAGTGATGCCCTTTGAAGGCTTGCAGAGAGGAGAGGGAGCAATTTAAATCTAAATCTTCAGCCAGTTTTTGCTCGTTTTGCCGCTGTCTCACTGTCTGTGTCTACTATTATCTGACACTCACTGCTTGTGTGTAGCCTGATAATGTATGAACTTGTGGCATCTTTTATGGATTCATCCATCTATAATATCACTGCACTGTCTGCATTTTGTTTTATTTGTTTGTCTTTAAGACATTAAGTAGCTAACATGATTCTTCCCTTTATTCCACTATTTGTCATTTCCTCTGTTCATTTGTTTTGAGGACATAAACTATGTATTTGTGTATGTGCATTAACATTTTAAAACCTTTCCTGGCTATAATTCATGAATTTATTTCAGCCACGTTTGTTCCACTCATGGTTACATAATTGACGTAACATGTACATGTATGACTATTTACAGCCCATGATGGAAATGAGCAGGGAGAAGAAACTCATATCAACTCCTCACTCAAAAATGTGCTGGTCTGTCGTCACATCAGCTACCAACACAACAATCTACCAGCAGCAAAACATATGAACTAATATTTTCATACTGTCTAATTTTTTTAAATACATTTATTCAAATTGAAGATGTTCGTAGAGCTCGTTAACTCATTTGGTTGATATGAATTCCATAATGTAACCCAAACAGCTGAACAGCAGTGCTATACCACTAACACATTCATTACCTTAGATTTTAGTCATTATTGGTCAATTAAATGCAAATTTAAGGCTGATGTCATGTCATTTTTGTCGTAAGATTTTGTCCTCCAATTGTTGCCCGAGGAAAAGTCAGTGAATCACCAAAGTTGATACAATTCATTCTGAGGGCTTCAAGAATGTCCAGTGTACCGATGTACCCAACCACCATGTCAATCCATGCGGCACTGCTGAGGTATTTCCTTCAAAACCACAAATGTCAGCCTCATGAAGGCTTTGCAGGAAAAGTCAGGGGATAAACAAAGTCTGGAGGTTACATTGTCTGAGAACCAGGAATGTGTGTACAACATGTCAGGACACTATATTATTCAGATAATGCCCAGAGCCAGGCTGCTAGCAAGGCTAAAAATACAAACCTTACAACCCAGTGTCTCACTGTGGACAAGACACAACCTTAAAACGAGTTCATGGCTAATTCTTTATTTATTTGCATCCATACAGTCTAAAGCAGGCATGGGCAAACTAAGGCCCGCGGGCCATATACGGCCCGTTGGGCTTTTTAATCCGGCCTGCCGAATATTGGTACAAAATTGTCCAAATTATAGTAAAGACCGCATTCATTTAGCCTTTTTCCTGCAATACCCGGCATTTCAGTTGATCACACTAGATGGCGCACTCTAGACACAATTGACCTTTGCTGGAGTCTGGTCTATTCTCTTAGCTGGCCCCACTTGCAACCCAGCAAGATCAAATACGTCACGCTTACATGATTGGAGGAGGTCGAGATTAACCTGAGCAATAACAGTTCATGCGAATACAAGTTGTAACAAGCAGTAGCGCTGAGCAAAGTGACTAGAACGCGACCACACATTTATAAAAAACACTTATATAAAGTCAGGCAACACTAACCAGGCTTAGTGTGATTCTGTTTATTTTACCTTACTTTAATGACCATCCGTTCACTGTTATTGACCATTGTGAAGAGGCAGACGTTTTCCTGTTGTTTTGTATTATTGCAGCTATTGGATGGAATCAATACATGGGCTACATGTGGCCATCACAAGTAAAATCATAACGAAAACTACGCCGGTAAAATATGCGTGTAGAAAACGGCTTATGCCACAATATGATAGCAACAAGTAGTCAAGATAGTCTGATTAGCTTCGGTTGCTATGCTAACATCACCTGTAGTCTAGAATGCCAGAGAAACTTTCATAACAGCGTTGTGATGCCAAACAGCATCAATTCAGACTGAAACACATTCACTGATGGGGAATTGGGGATATGTATCAGCTGCTTGTGTGACAGTCGGACAGTGAAGACTTTACACAGGGTTGCCAACTTTGGGTACCTGGCTGGAGTGAGATTTTGATATCATGGGTTTAATTCGGTTTAATTACACATATGCGCACAAAATGACTGCTATCGTGTCAGCAGCGGGACCTTAGCATATAGGATATATATACAATATATACAAATACACAATAACAGACTATAAAGGGCACACAGTTTCATTCACTAATGAAAGTCAAACATGTTTGTTTCCACTGTTTTATTGTGTGCCTGTCGCGATAAGCAATTAATTGACTTATCGTACGATAAATAAAAATGAACTCGATAACTTTTCTGACCTCGATAAATTGCCATTTACATGAGGATGTGACTAGCAGTTTGAAAGGATGTACTTGAATTATTATTATATATTATCATTATGTCAGTGGTCTAAAATGGTCATACAACGGTGCCGACAATATTCTCGTTTATCGCAATAATTTCCGGGAAAATGTATCCAACAAAATTAATTATCGTGAGAGGCCTATACATGAAACACACACACACAAACAAATCTACAGACTTACTCCAAACTGCCAAATATATTAATTAACACACTCTGACTCTCATATACTCTTTGACTCTATGTCGGCCTAGTAGAACAATAAGCAGCAGACTTTTACTTTATCATTTCTACTGGATCTTAGATCTGCGCATGCGCAATACGGGTCCGCAGTTGCGGCTCCAGAGTATTTTTGTTGGATAATCTAGGCTAGCCCATACAGTGGTGGGGCTCAAGTCAGTATTTGCAATGTAATTACATACACGCTCCCCCCGACAGTGAAACGCCACGCGTGAGGTTTAGATTATTTTCCTGTCTCAATCCAAATTGAACTGTATGAAATAAAAAGGCACATTTGTCTTGTAGTAAATAAAAAGGGCGACCTGGAGCCAATCCTGCAATTTCCCCACAGGTGAAAGAGTTGACATGCTGAAAACCCAACCCCTGGGGTCCCCCAGGAGATTTTTTAAAATACTAACATAAAATACACATTCTGGTACTCTCTTGAGAAGAAAAATAAATAAATCTATTACTACACGACATATTTAAAAAAATGAATGCCATTTTAGTTTTTTGTTACTTTGTTCTGAAAGCTGAACCTGCTGCTCCTCACAGAGAGAAGAGGGAAGAGGCTGTGTGAATTACTTTACATTGTGGATAAGGGTGGATAGCCCCCATTGTTCTGTGTGTCAAAATGAAAGACAGCCCACACACCTATCAATCATCAAACCGTGGGGTCTTATTTCATTACGTGTTGATTTCTATCAACACGTAATGTTGTATCGATGTATATAGAGATGTACTACAGCAAAAGTATTCTCCGTCGGGACTTCCTGCAACAACACCACGCCGTTATCGTGATTCTGATTGGCCAGAAGACATTATCAAAGATGTTCTATTGAGAAGACGATCACTACGTGACAAAAGTTTTCAAAACCGTTTCTAGTCTTCGGTATTCTTGTTTTTGGCGTGAGAATAGTTTGGGCAGCGTGAGAGCGTGAGATTGAGAGTGAAAGCGTGTGTCACACGCCAGATGCGTGAGAGTTGGCAACCCTGCTTTACAGCGGCCACTGCCGTGAGTTAACAGTAGACTAAACTCTTGTGGACGAGCAGCGCTCCAGCGGTAATGCCGCTGAACCACATTAATAAACAATGCACAACGGCACTCTGGAGAAAGGTATTAGGTTGGAGAAGTAGTTCTTTAATTTAATCTTGCTTCATATGATTAAAAACTACCCAACGCAGTCCTCTATTGATGTTGTTGTGAGCGGTGTTGCGGAGAAAATCAGCGACGTAAAATGCCGTGTAGGAGGCACGTAAACGGTTACGTCATGACGCAAACAAGGACGCAATGACGCAATAATTCAACTTTGAACCTAATTCACCTTTGAACCTGCATCTGTAACAATGAGTGGACCAAAGAACAGAAAAGTCGACAATGAGTGCCGAGTGTTTAATGAGTAGTGGACAGCTAAATATTTTTTCACCGATCTGCTACTGGCCCGGTCCGTCTGTCAAATTTTAAAACTCATAGTGGCCCCCGAGCCAAAAAGTTTGCCCACCCCTAGTCTAAAGTGTTCTTTTTGAGTTGATGCCATACAAAAAAATTGGCCGCAGAGTCGAAAGTGAATTCTAGTTTTGCTTAGGATCTACCATTTGACATATGGACGACGGTGCAAAGCAGCTTATATCTCTCAAAATGCCCTTACACTCACGTTTCGATATGGAAAAGTGCAGCCAAAGAAAATGTGGCTGGTGAGGAGGAGATTACAGCCTTCTTTTGAATGTTTTAAAGAGGAAATAATATGCTCATTTCAGCTTTCAGATTTGTATTTTGTTCCTCTACTGTGACATGTTAACATATTTTTCTCATACTGCCTGTGCTGCAGCACCACTTTTCAACCTCTGTCTGAAACCAGAGTCCAGTCTGCTCTGATTGGTTAGCTGGTTGATTCTGTTGTGATTGGTCAACTGCTTAGAGATGAACCGCCACTTAGCCTACAATCACGTACAATGTGTTTGAGTGCTGGCCAATAAAAGCAGGAGTGTTACGTAATGATGTCACTATGTCGCAGAAGTAAACAAAGGAGTCCTATGTAGGAGTTTCAGGCAGGGGTGGAGTGTGTGGGGAGAAAAACTCCCTCTGGAGGGAACTTTGGGATTTTAGCCTTTGCAGACCATTTACATGCACAGAAACCTATATAAAGCACTACAGGAAAGGGAAAACCCCCAAAAAGCAAAATAGGGCCTCTTTGATGATGTCTTCAGAGGATCAAAACCAAACAAAAATAGATATACCAAGATGACCAATCCCTGAGGACCCCATTACTGCCTTTCTTTAGGTACTCCGAAACTTTGATGTGTTTCCTAAATTGGAAGGTCTTATTATTGGGCTTCACGCTAAATGTAAGTTTATTTACTGATACTGTATATTGTACCTTCACATTAACATTACATGATGTATTGTCGCTGTAGAGATACCAGAGGAGTGTGCTGTCCCAGATAAACATATGTTTTACAGTTACTATCTCTGAAAGTCTATAAGAACACGGTTCAGTTTTAATTAGACTAACAGGGAATAGAGGTAGCTTATTTTTTCCCCAAACACATCTCAACTCGATTCTGTTCAAAATGACAACACATGCGGTGGAAAATGTACATAAGGGAGCGAGTGGGTGTTGTTCACATGTCATATTTGCAGTTTTATAAATACCAGACAGTGAGGAAATAAGTGTGTGCATCCTTTTTGTGCCTGAAGTTCACACCCTGTGAGCTTATTGCCTCTGTTTACCAGAGAGCGTGCCTCGGGCTTACAAAACATCAAAGTGTTACTGCAACACCTGATTAAAGCTGACATATTTATTTAATCAGTTCTCAATAAGAGCGAGCAATGTGGAGCAGATGTTAGGGAATGTGCTCAGATGGCAGGATTGTTTAATAAATTGGGATTCATGTAAAATCTTCCCAGACTCTGCAGTTATAGCACAGTGAAGTGCTCTGACCCTGTTGTTTTGACATCTGCTGATTGTAAACTTGAATCATGTTTAATCATGAGCTACTCTGACTTTCACTAAATTAACATAATTGTAAATGTGATTGTCAGCAAGCAAGTATATCCCAATCACTTCCAACTTTACAACAGGTAATCACAGTTAATATTAAGGGGGAAACAAGTATATAGTATCACTGTAAGATGTATACCCTGTTAAATCAAGTTTTTTAATATGGTTTTTGTAGCAGCACACAGCTTCTTCATATACTGTACACATAATACCATATTATATATTAGATCTTTGCTCCTGCAAAAGATCTTGCTTACAGAACGTATCTGGGGTGCATTACTCCCATTTGCCACCTAAACTATTTTATTTATTTATTTATTTAATCGTTTATTTGAACCGGGACAGTGCACATTAATGAACATTTTAAACAAAATAATGCTTTTAAATGTAAATGAGCTGGATTTTAGCTTTGAGTTAGTTTCCATCCGTAGTCCCGTCACATACAACATTTATGAACATAACATTTATATACATGGCAAAAATAAATACATGATATGCAGAAAGAGCATGAGCAGCATACAAGCCACAAGGCAGTACAATGTAGCAGCTACGACATATAAAGTGCAGGAGGAGATAAAAGATTTACATAAAGTGCAAGAGGAGTTACCCCTGTGTTAAAGTGCATTTAGCGGTGATCGCACGTCTGTTTGTTTCTTAACCATTCTTTTAGTTGACCTTTAAATCTATTGAGAGTGGGACAATCCCGTATCTCAGTTGGGAGGCTATTCCACAAAGAGCTGCCTTTAATTGATAGAACATTTTGACAGAAAGTGGTCCGTCTATGGTGGACTTCACAGTCTCCTCTGGTTTCTGACCTAGTGCAGAGTCCAGTGTGTTTTCTGTGGATGAATTCCCCTAAGGGAGGGGGGAGGGGGGCCAGTCCATGTAAACATTTATAAATAAAACACATACTTTTAAAAGACTTAAAATTGTCAAAACTCAAGAAATGGTGTTTCTCAAGGATGGTACAGTGGTGGTATGAATAAGGCTTTCTGTCAAACACCTTGATAGCTCTCTTGTACAGCTGTTCTATGGGTTTCAGGTTTGTGGCACAAGCAAACGACCAGTTTGTAAAACAGTATTCAATGTGGGATAGAATCATACAGTGGAGGTATGACTTTGCAGCATTGACAGTTAAGAAAGGTCTAATTTGTTTAAAATGTTGCAAGTTGAATTTAACGGTATTGGATACTTTCTTGATATGTTTCTTAAAATTCAAGTTCGAGTCCAGTATGACTCCAAGATACTTGAAGTGGGGGACTAGTTCTAATTCTGCTCCATTTAAAAACACGTTGGATCCTTCCATTTTGACTGGTCGTTTACTGAACATCATGCATACTGTTTTTTTTGCATTTAACTGTAAGCAAATGTTGTTCAGCCAGTGTTGAACCTTGTCCAAATTATTTGAGAGACAGGATGTGATTATTTCAGTATTTTTCCCGTGTACAAAGATGACCGCATCATCGGCATACATTTGCACATTCAACTCAGGACATACATTCGGCAAGTCAACTATAGCATCATACAGTTTGCCTCCATCATCTGTAATTTGGTAAACCTTCCTGTCATGTTCGGGTCAAATCAGACCGATTTACTACTTTCATTAGTCCTAAATATTGTGTTTTACATTTGATTGCTTCAAGACCTAATGACATATTCTACAGTATAGGCAGTTGAACATTTACATTTGCTGATCACCACTTTCATTGAATTTTGTGTGGGTTAGGCAGCTTTGCTACACCTATGGCTTTTTCGGTAAAAGATTACTACCATAGGAAATTAATTGGTAAAGCTGGATTATGTTCATCCATCGATACATTTTCACTGGCTATACTTTGGACATTCACTGTGTTTTTGTCATGTAAGCCACGTTCTGAGACAGTTCAAACAGACCAGCCATTTGACCTGGAACACCAAAGTAAAGTGGGAGAAACAAACAAGACAGGAGGGTTAATTACAAAAATAGAAAAGTTTACTGCTGGTAAAGTCTTCTGAATATGTATAGGTTCCAGGAAATCCAGACAGAGCAGCTTAGAAATCATTCCATTCAAACCAATTACGACAATTCAATAGAGATCAAATGATCTTGTGTCTTCATTTGAATTGCCCTCGCATGCCTGTGTGAATAAGCACCCTTCAGAGTAAATATAAGGGGGTGTGTATCATTTATTAAGGAGTACATTTCCAGTTAATCTTTTACTTTCTCCTCAGCGTGCCGGTCCAACTGTAGAACCTGCGCGTCTGTCAGCTCTGCCTCCTCCGGGACTCATGATGCTGAAACTCTCCATGAACCCTCATGTTTTATTCATCGGCACATATAATGTTGGCAAATTATTTTATATAGTGGGGAAAGATTCATCTTAAGAGCAGAAATTGGGTAGGGAGAAGCTAATGTGTTTATTATGCCAAGATAATGGCATGAAATAGAGGCCAGGGGTGGAGAATTTGTAGGAGTGTTTATACTTTATATTCATTGGAGGGGAGCATCTGAATGCCTCGTGGTCACATGGTGGCAGATGTCTTTTCAATGCTATTTGTGTGTCTGTGCACCCATGTGAATGCACGCAGTCAAAGCTTTTGCACATGTTTTGTGTGGGCAAAGTTCACGTGTTCAGTGTTTATGTAACGTATACATTTGCCTCATGGAGGTTTTAGTGCCAATGGTGTCTGCTTTTATGGCTGTTTTTGAGAGGAGTGCTTCTCTCTGAGTTGCAGAAAGCACCATTAGTGGGAGAAAGAAGGCTGCTCTCTAAATGCTATCTGCCTCGCTAAGCTGAGAAAGGCAGAGATCTTTCCTCGTATCGCTAATTTCAGTGCCATTATGACATAGCACTATCGGCAAGATGGGCTGCATTTTAACTGCGGACTGGCTGTTGTGTTGAAAGGGGAGAGGCAGGAACTCCATACAGATACTGTATGTCAGCGGCGCCAGCGTGGAGATGGGATCTCGCAGTTCAGCCATCTGGAAATAAAAGCTTTTTTTTTCTATTTATTTATTTATTTTCCAATACCCTATGATGCACCTTTTTGATTGAAACTTTCATTCATCTAAGCCTGACAGTCACATCACAGTTTCTGTAACCAGATTGAGCGACGACTGCATGTTAAGAGTATTCATGAGCTTGGCCTTTTTTTATCTGCAAGTAGAGTACTTTTGTCTTATTTAAGTGAAGGCGGCCTGGGTTTCCGGCGCATCCTTCAATATAATTCTCAAATGCTGAACGCAGGACATTTGGGGATGATAATATATTCATATTGTGCTACTGGAATGTGTCTCTTCTGTGCCTTTCATAAATTGGGGTCAGGTGATATCTGTCACAGTAGAGAATGTGCTTAGTGCTGACAAAGTCATGTTGACACTTTTTGGAGAGGAAAGCACACAAATAAAAAATAAAAATTGTCTCCCAGGAGGCAGGGAGGAGAGGAAATTAAATTGCCTCTCCACATCCCTTGTTAGGAATGAAAACCAATCAGCCAACCCTCAATTCACACTCACAGCTCCACAAAGATTGTGAGGAATATTGATATAAGTTTTAACAAACGCACTGTCCTTTTTTTTATTTTTGGCTCTGGAGCCAGTTGCAACGTACTGATAAGATTTTCTTTTTTCATCGACAAAGCAGTGGTGGATTCATGGCTATTTTACAAATATGGCAATTAACCAGGCTTGAATAGGCTCATGGGTATTGTGAAGCTGAATACATAGAAATCTTTAAATCATCATTTTAAATCATTAAACTTCTATTTTCAAATATGTGAATTTGACGTGTTAAGTCACCAGATCCTCTGTAAACCAAGAAATACTCTAATTGCAAAACTTGTGTGTGGATTTCTCACATTTACTCAGCTGTGATGAGTCTCATTTCAGAGGATAGGAAACTGTCAGCACTTTTAACCGTATCCCCAATGGCGAGCTTTGTGCTTGTGTTTGGTCTAATTTGGGAGTTCTCAGGCTTACTTCCCCATGAAATCCCTTCCAGTAACATGAGCACACATTCAAAGCAGTGAGAAAGGAAAATAATGAAGTGTATGGACACAGAGCCATTTACAGAATGTAGTGTGCACTGGTTATCGCAGTTAATTTCACAGTGATCAGTTCAGAGAAAACTCTGCTCGACTTAAATTGCATGATGCTCAATATGTGGCTCATTATGGTGCAGAGCGTGGAGGACGGAGAGTTTGTTTACAGACGAGAACAATGAGCTTAACACCGTACTTCACAAAAAGGTAATTTGGAATTACTTTAAACTGAATAACGTAAGCACAGTTGGGTAGAGTCAGTGATAAGAGAGGGGGTCTGCAGACTGAAGTGAAAAGGCATGTCAATTAAATTGAAAATGTATTTGTGTAGGAGAGTTATTTTTAATCATTTAAAATAGGATGGTCACTCACCACACAACGACTGCCAGAAAAAGCTTTAATATCTGAAATTATTAGCAAAATATTTTTTGCATAGTTTTGGAATTATTATTTTCATTACTTTCTGCAGACACTAGGTGACACCTGCCCCTAATGACGAGTCGCCACTGGTACTACACCATAAAAAGTCAAACACTGGCAGGAGTCAATACCTCTGTTGACCCTTTTGATTTGAAGTTTTAATTTGCCAACATTTATTTAATTTTGAGTCCATTTCTGTGTGAAGAGAATCAGTTGCCTTTCATGTGAGGGGAATCCACAGTGTGACACCTGGAGGTTTGCACAGCAGTTTGTACACAGCTCTCATCATCATGGTCAATTGGAATAGATTATGGGCAAACCCCGGGCACAGACCATTATTTAAACCGGATAATAATTGAGATGTTGTGTTGCGCTTGTTATCTACTGCATTCCCTGAAGGGAGATGGCGGGGAGAAACCATTTTTGGCCAACTTGGAGTCATTCTTTAAAGCTTGAAATATCAGTTTACAGCCCGGCAAAACCTGCCTTGAAGAACCAGTGCAGTGGGAAATACATTTGTTGTCTTGTGTCAAGCACTTCAACTGGCAAAAGTCGCTGAAAGTCCACTTGAGATAACAGCACTTCACGAGGGCTTCAGTGCATCCCAGATTTGGCTAATGATGGGACGTGGGAGTAAGAAGTACAGAAGAGGAGGAAGAGGGTGAAGTTTGTAGCGTGTATAGGGTGGGCGGGTTATCTTCTCATAGATCAAGCAACTTAAAAAAATTCTGAACCATAGTGCTCGTCAATCATAATTGATCTTGAGTAGCGGGGGTTGTGGGAGACGAGAAGACAAGGAGAAAGCGAGCAAAGAGGAGAGCAAGTGTCCTCCCTGGAGGCTACAAGCACCTTTTAAGAAGCCGAGGCCCCGAGGACTCCTCCGCCCTTTCCCCGCGTCAAGATCAAACCCATTGCTCCTCCATCCTTCTCGCCTCTCCTCTCCTCATCTTCCTTATCAAGGCCTCTTCATTATAATCAGTGAAAAAAAGAAACTCTTAACAGCTGGAAATAAGACGCACGCGTTAAGAAGCATATGGACAAACCTCTTTTCAGAATTATTTCTGAAGTCACAGGGGGGCACGGCGGAAAATAAAGAATATACACTGCTAGGCGATGCTTCCCTTTTATCTTCCAGCAAGAGAATGGCTCATACAAATGCATTAGCAACTGCTTTTGTTAAGTCTCTTGGAAAAGGCTTATCATCATAGATCTCACTGTTATTATCTTAAAGAGAATCTCTAGGATTGGCAGTTTACCCACTTCAGGGTACATTTGGTCCTTTTCCATGTACTCCATGAATGTCAGGCAATTTGAGGGAAATGTGTATGATATTAGATTGCATGTCTTCTCCAGTATGTTAGCGAAACCATGAAGCAAACATGATGAGAGGAATGATGAGATGGAATGAATGTCTTACAGAAATGACTGCCCTTTAAAGTGCATGAACATTCAGCTCTAATAATACAGCCAGAAAGCAAGAATACAGCGAAACACAAGTCTAATGCACTTAGTTATTATAAGCATTGCTCGTCCAGGTCTAAGCTTTTGTCCAAGTCTTCATCGCTTGTGTTTATGACTATATATCTTAGCCCTATCAAATTTGTTTTGGGACTGTTTTCATATTTGTATTTCCAGTTCTTGCTAAGAGTTGAATAGATTGATAACACAAATGCATATCAATCTTTTCATCTAACTCTGCAAGAGGGCACATTTCCCAGAGAGGGCCTTTATTGAAGATGCAGAGTTGAAAGGGGTGGGTGGAGGGGATGACATTACCTTGAATGTTTGGTGGGCTTGGGAGTCAAGCCCCTTACTTGGCAGCGGATACTTTATTGTCCGCCAGCTTTAACCACTGAACTATCTATCGGCCCCAAACTATTCATTTAAGTGAACTCTACAGCATTGGTTATTCTCCAAAACAGAGACATACATGGGCGTTTGTGGACAATATGGACATGTAGGCCTACCTCTGTTTACTAGCCAAGCCCTTTGACATTGAAATGTACATCACATGGACCTTCACGTTCTGCAAACATATCATTTATAACTTTGTATTTAACACTAGAACCGCCATCGGGTCAATTTGACCCACAGCTGTTTTTTTATTGTATGTAACTTTTTTTCAATAAAATATTAAAGTCTCCCAGTCCGTGACTTTTCCTGAAAGTGTGTTATGTAGCACCCTCTGTTGTTAAAAATGGTCAATATGAAGTCAGATTGAAGAAATCGCCAAAGAAATTGCCATTTATACCTATTTCCGCCAGCGGGTCATATTGACCCCACCCCTTTTCGCACTATTGATTTTGCGCGTAAACATAAACATGACGTGTTGCTATAGCAACGCCTTTTGTCTACTGCGGTTCCTTATAGATTGAGAGATAGATTGAGAGAGAGATAGATAGATATATATATTGATAGATAGTTATAGAGAGAGAGAGAGATAGAGAGAAAACATTTTGGCGAATGGTTAGGTGGCGCGACAGTCTGTAGTGAAGGAGCGCGCTCCCGCTCACGGGAGACTGCTGTTTGCTTTTCACCCAACAACGACAACCGCCTCACGAAACGCTATGTTGTAGCGTTAATAAACGAAACAATTTAACAAAATTGCTTGTCAAAATACCAATACCACAGGACAATTTTCTTTTTTAAAGCAATATTTTTAGTGGCCCGAGCGGGCAAGATGAAAGTACGTTATGCTGGCCGGGGTGTCTAAATAGTTCTTCCGGGCCAGCGGGCCATTTATAATGTTGAGCCTTGTATATCATATGAAAAGCTGAGAGTCCACAGATTCTATTGGTATACGTTTCATCCCTGTGCGATCAAAACTCACTGTTCAATAAAAGAACATTTTACCTTGAAAATCAATGCATTCTAAGAGCGGGTCAATTTGACCCGGTGGCGGTTTTAGGTATACAAAAACCTCTGGCGGTTCTAGTGTTAATCAATAATGAGTAATCAACTATATATCAGACTGTATTGTGTTTCTAACTTATCGGCAACAGTTTAGTATGCGCCGGTGAAGATGGCCGCATTGTCTTTTGGCTCCTCTCCAACTTTGCCCTTTTTCGTATTTATTTAGTGTTTATTTACTTTTTGCCGTCTGCTTTTAACATGGTTTGCAACATGCAAGCCGACCGCACCAACTCTGCTATACAATATAGCAGAGAGGAACTTCTTCACATCAGAAACTTTGTGGACAATAGCCCACCGACAGACAATGGAGATTCGCAATGGCTACCTGTTGCTGTCCTACCTGAGAGACGCAAGAAGCAGACCAAGCGGGGGTCCCGCGCCGGGCTGCTGGTCAGACTGAGAAAACGAGAAAACCGACCCCCTCTTCCGAATATTCTTCTGGCTAATCTTCAATTGATTGAAAATAAACTAGATGAACTCAGAAGTCAGATTGCTTTTCAACGGGACATTAAGAACTGTAACGTGTTCATTCTCACCGAGACTTGGCTAAACCCCGCTATCCCGGACTCCGCCATTGTTCCTGACGGATTCACAATTTTTCGCCAGGACCGGACAGTTAACTCGGGGAAAAGTAAAGGTGGCGTTGTGTTTGTCATGATAAACACTAACTGGTGTACAGATGTGAGGATTATTTCTTCGGACTGTTCCGCTCATCTAGAGCACCTCATGATCACATGCCGGGCTTTTCACCTGCCGAGAGAATTTACATCTGTTGTGATTACAGCAGTGTATATTCCGCTGCTCGCCGACAACAACACGGCACTCGGTCAGCTGTTTGGGATTATCGATAGTACGGACACTTCACGGCCAGAGGCGGTGTTTATTGTGGCCGGGCACTTTAACACCGCCAACATGAAGAAAGTTCTGCCGAGATACTTTCAACACATCAGCTGCCCGACGCTCTGGGGAAACATACTGGACCATGTTTATTCCCCCTTTCGACATGGATATAGGGCTCTCCCTCGCCCTCACTTCGGCAAATCAGACCACATCTCACTGCTGCTGCTACCAATCTACGGATTGGAGTGTGTTTGAGGACAACAACATCGACACACACACGGACACAGTCATCTGCTACATTGGGAAATGCATCGATGACGTGGTACCGAAGGTTTCTGTACGAACATTCCCGAAACAAAAGCTGGATAAACGGCGAGGAGCGCGCACTATCGGCGAGGAGCGCGCACTATCGGCGAGGAACGCGCACTATCGCGCACAGAGCTGGAGATTTGGAGGAGTACAGGAAATCTAGATATGAACTCCGGAGAGCTATCTGCAGTGCAAAGAGAGAATACAAAGACAAGGTGGAATCTGACTTCAAAGGCTGTAACACCCGGAACATGTGGGCGGGACTAAGAACAATGACAGACTAAGGAGCAGCGGGGGGTGCTGCGGGAGTGTCTGTGTGCGCATCTCTCCCAGACGAGCTGAACAGTTTTTGTTGCACGATTTGAGAGCAGCCAGGCTGGGGGTGCAGAGAAGGATCAGGAGCTAGAGCCCTGCCCTTTGTTTTAAACAGGGCAGATGTGTGCAAATCCTTTAAAAGGGTTAACCCACACAAGGCTCCTGGACCTGATGGCATCCCTGGCCGTGTTCTCAGGGTGTGTGCAGTTCAGCTGGCAGAGGTGTTCACAGACATCTTCAACAGGTCCCTGCTGCAGTCTGTAGTCCCCACATGTTTTAAACACTCCAACATCGTTCCTGTCCCCAAAAAGACTAAAACCACCAGCCTCAATGACTACCGCCCAGTAGCACTCACCTCCATCATAATGAAGCGCTTTGAGCGGTTAGTCAAATCATTCATCACCTCCTCCCTCCCGGACTCTCTGGACCCCCTGCAGTTTGCCTACAGAGCAAACAGGTCCACAGACGACGCCATAGCCCTCACCATCCACACTGCCCTCTCACACCTGGACCAGAGGAACACATATGTGAGAATGCTGTTCATTGACTACAGTTCAGCATTCAATACCATTGTGCCCTCCAAGCTGGTCATCAAGCTCAGAGACCTCGGGCTCAACAGCGCCCTCTGTGACTGGATCCTGAACTTCCTGACGGGCAGACCCCAGGCAGTGCGGGTGGGAAACATCACATCCTCCACCCTGATCCTCGATTCCTCAACACCGGAGCCCCTCAAGGCTGCATGCTCAGCCCTCTCCTCTACTCCCTGTTCACACACGACTGCGTGGCCACACACAGCTCCAACACCATTGTGAAGTTTGCTGACGACACGACCGTCATCGGCCAGATCACAGACGGCGACGAGGCGGCGTACAGAGAGGAGGTCGAAAACCTGACATCTTGGTGCCAGGATAACAACCTCCATCTCAACGTCAGCAAAACCAAGGAGCTGATTGTGGATTACAGGAAGCAGCAGAGAGAGGGACACGCCCCCATCGCCATCAATGGGACTATGGTGGAGAGAATCGGCAGCTTCAGGTTCCTCTGTGTCCACATCACTGAGGACCTGACATGGACTCTTCACACCACCACCATCACCAAAACAGCTCAACACGGCTCTTCTTCCTCTGCCGGCTGAGGAGGTTCAACATGGACTCCAGGATACTCTGCAACTTCTACAGGTGCACCATAGAGAGTATCCTGACTGGCTGCATCACGGCCTGGTACGGCAGCTGCACCGACCTCAATCGTAAGGCTTTACAGAGGGTGGTGAAAACTGCACAGCACATCACCAGGACGGAGCTGCCATCCATGGAGGACCTTTACTCCCAGCGGCTCAGGAAGAAAGCTCTCAGGATTATAAAAGTCCCCCATCACCCCAGCCACAAACTGTTCTGTCTGCTGCCGTCTGGCAGGCGCTACCGCTGCATCCGGACTAAAACCACCAGACTCAGGGATAGTTTCATCCCACAGACAATAAGACTGTTAAACACCTGAACTGTTGAACCAAATCTGTTAAACACCTGAACTGTTGAAACAACATCCTTAATATTCATCTGGCTGCTACTTAAAAATTATGTATCTATTTACGTATATCATATTTCTTAACTTGCATATAGACTCTTATTGCACTATATTTTTTTGTTATCTGTGTTTGTTGTTATCTGTTTATCCCTGCCAGTTTCTGTCTCAGTGATTGCTGATTGCACCCAGGTGTGTGTTCCAAGATGGCAGCACGTTGATTTGTTTCTGTCTCTGTTAGTCTCATTCTCGTTGTTTTTTGGCATTAACTACCTCTTGTGCATACTGACATTTAAAAAAAATTATTTAGCTTTTTAGACCCGTTTTTAAATTGGTCTGCTGCGCTTTTAAAAACGTTTTAAAAGCTTTTAAAAAATGTTGGGCTGTTTTGCGTCGTTTTGTGCCGGTGCCTCGCTGTGACTGGATTGTTTGCTCTCTGCCTGAGCTGTCGCTCTTTCGGACTGTGGATTGCTGTCTGTCCTGCCGTGTTGTCGGGGGCTGGTCGACCTGAGCTGCTGATCGACCTGAGCTGCTGGGACCTGAGCTGCGGATCCTGAATTGGGTGTGTTGCAGCTCAATGTTGCCTAAAGCTACCCTTGTGTTCGCTTTTTTCCTGGGATTAATTGTCAGCCCGCATGTCGGCAAAACTGACGGATTGCCTCCCAGCGATGCCTCTGTTCACTTCGGACATTCGGATGGTGGAACCTCTGGAGCGCTGACTCCATCGGATAGTTTTTACCAAAAGCTGACGTTTCATGGCACGAAATGCGCACTCCCGTATGCCCTTTTGACTCTGGACTCGCTAATATCGAAGGATCGGAGCAGCCCTGCCCCTCTGAGGAGTGACGCGTCCAGAGCACATGTGAAAAAATCCTCTTCCAGACTGTTAATATTGTTACTGCTATTACTCTCTGGTAACGTTAACATTAACCCTGGTCCTGAGTGTTTCTCTGCTTCCTTGCATCATTTGCTAACTCCGAATGAGTTTAGCTGTAAGCAAGGATTGGGTTTTCTGCATGTTAATGCTAGAAGCCTAGTGCCCAAATTAGATGTTTTCAAGACCTGGTTTTTAGTTGCTAAGCCTGATATTGTTGTAGTTTCTGAAACCTGGTTAAAACCCTCTGTCACTGACACTGTTATTCAGATTGATGGATATAATGTATTCAGAGCTGATCGTAAGGGCAGAGCTGGTGGTGTTGCAATATACACTGCTGAGAAACTACAGTGCTCTGTCCTTCACTCAATTTCAATTCCAAGGCAATTTGAGTTGCTAGCAGTCCAACTAACTATAGCAAATGCTCCTCTCACTGTTATTGGCTGTTATAGGCCTCCATCGGCCATCATGGATGCAACTACTAGCCTTACTGAATTGTTGTCTAAGTTTTCTTCTGAAATCATTTTATTGGGTGATTTAAATTGGGACTGGTTAAGTGATAAATCTTCACAGTTTAAGCAGGTTTGTGATTCTTTGAACTTAACTCAGCTTATTGATAGTCCCACTAGAATAAACCCTGCCAAACCCAATAACGATACCCTTATAGATGTCATTCTAACAAATGCAGCTCATAAGTATGTGTCTGTTGGTGTTTTTCCTAATGATATCAGTGACCATTGCACTATCGCTTGCGTTAGGTGCACTAAGTTGCCCAAAGCCAAGGGCCTTATTGTGCTCAGGCGCTGCTTCAAACACTTCTCTGAGCAGGCTTTCCTACATGATCTGGCGGAGGTTAAATGGCACTTCACAGCGTTAATTCCATCTGTTGATGTTGCCATCCAATTTTTTATTGATAATTTTTTATCGATTATTAATAGACATGCCCCCCTTAGAAAATTCAGAGTTAAGAATAGGAACACTCCATGGTTTACTAGAGAACTATCTGATCTCATTCATGATCGAAATAAGCAATGGTCCTTAGCTAGAAAGTCTAACACTAGTGATGACTGGCTTCTTTTTCGTGTCCTCAGAAATAAATGTTCTGCCCTTATTAAAAAAGCTAAAGCTGATTACTATCTGAGCTTAACCACTGATTGTTTTAATGACCATTCCAAATTCTGGAAAACAATTAAATCACTTCAGAACAAGAAGGTTTCTAGTTTCCCACAAAAACTGAAGGTCAGTGATTCTTTTATTTCAGATTCAGATGGTATGTCTAATGCCTTTAACTTGTTTCACACCTTCCCCCCGGTACCGGGCGGATAAACGCGTCATTTGCAGGAAACAACGTCTAAGGAATCTTAATATTGAATAAAACGATGAATGTGTTATATCCATGTAACGGGAAGAAACTCAGCTAACTGATCTTTTTAATTTTTTTTTTCAAAAAAAAACCCACATTGCTAGCACTCAGCCTCTGAATTAGCCTCAAGCGAAAAATACGTAACATACTAAGGCAACTAAACTCACTCTAACTCCCTTATTACTTATCCTACAGTAGATGCACAACCAACCACTCTTTTTTGGTGTCCTGGAGACACTGAATCTACCGGTGCCCTCCTCAACACTCAGTGATAAACATTCGCGACGCTCTAAACGAAAGCGTACATCATCACATGTGGAGCTAAGAAGCTAAACACGTAAATATGGCTTACCTTGGTCAAAAGTGGTCTTCAATGGCATTAAAACGATAAAAAAACGATGCTGCAGTTAATCCATAGGTTCATCCTATGTGTCTGTGCCTTCTTTGAAATTATTTCTGATAATCCATAAGCAATACAACTGCGTTTTAGTTTCCAAACTCCAGAAGGAGACATTCCTCCAGTTTGGTTTCGTTTTCCACATGCGAAGCAACCACATTTTTTCTTTACAACGTGTCTGGGTGGGAGCCTCCCCCTTCGATTCTATTGGCTCTAACGGTCACAAGGGTATGTCAACCAACCAAATCGAGCAAGGGGGGCCAGAGATAGGTCAAATCCACCCAAATGACCCCAGATGGCCCAGTTTTTGGCTAAATCTCTCTAAAAAGGTCAAATTTCACTTGTTTTGCATCAATCTTGATACAGGGTACTTATTATATGTTGTACTTTGGATTCCTAAAGCTTTTAGTCTACTAACCCATCATCCAAGGGTAGTTTTCACTATCTGTAAAAAATAATTTTTGGACGGACACTATAATTTACAGTTTTTTACTATGTAAAATCTGAATTTTCTTTAAAATAAAAAACATTTATATTGATTCTGACACTTCTACATCCAACTCACAGGTTTATCATTACTTTGAGAACAAAGATTATTAATTTAACCCTTTTAGAAGGGAAGATATGGTCATTTGTTCTGGGAATGTCATTTTTGAGCCTGAGACCTGAAAAACAGGCTCAGAGTGGAACAGGTTAATGCTCACTTCAAAAAGGCTGGTCACATTTTTGATGAGCAAAGTCATGACTCTCTAAATGGTCGTACTCACAGCCATAGTCAAGAGTTGAACTCCCCTGTTTTTGATTTCGCTTATTTCTCGGTCTCTGAAGTCTTACAGGGTTTGCACTCGATTGATCCTAAAAAGTCTGCCGGGCCTGACGGCCTTGACCCGTTCTTTTTAAAAATTGCAGCTCAGATGATAGCACAACCAGTAACTGATATTTTTAATCTCTCCCTGTCCACTCACACACTGCCAGCTGTGTGGAAGCAAGCTCTGGTATCGCCCCTCTTGAAAGCTGGTGATCCCACGGAGTTGAATAACTATCGTCCTATCTCAAATCTTTCTGTGTTATCAAAGATTCTTGAGTCCCTTGTTTCTACTCAGCTAAAACTTTTTTTAAATTCACACAACATCCTTAACCCTATGCAATCTGGATTCAGATCAAAGCACAGTACTGTGACTGCCAGTCTGAAAGTCTTAGACGATATTAAGGCTGCTTTGGATAATAAATCAGTTTGTGTTGCATTGTTTATTGACCTAGCCAAAGCATTTGACACTGTAGATCACCACATTATGTCTAATGTTATGTTGGTGTCTTGTTTCGGTCACAATGCCATTTGCTGGTTTCAGAGTTATCTAACCGACCGTACTCAATGCGTCAGGTTGGGTAGTACTGTCTCTGACCCTGTCACCTTGGAGAAGGGAGTTCCACAGGGCTCTATCTTGGGGCCCTTGCTCTTTTTATTATATGTAAACAATATTTGTAATCAGATGCAATTTTCTACCTATCATATGTATGCTGATGACACTATTGTATACTCGTGTGCTCCTTCTCTGGATATGGCCGTTTCCAATTTAAAATCAGATTTTATCACGCTGCAGCATGCGCTTCTTGATTCTAAACTGCTATTGAACAGTAAGAAAACCAAAGCAATGCTTTTTGCTCCCAAGTCAGCGTCCTCCTCTTGCCTCTCCATTGACACCCTTGATGGCGTTTCTGTTGAGTTTGTTGATACCTACAAATATCTGGGCTTTTGGTTGGACAGTAATCTGAACTTTAAACACCATATTGAAGTTTTAACAAAGAAATTGAAATTCACTCTTGGCTTCCTTTTCAGATTTAAATGTTGTTTTTCAATTTCATCCCGTAAAAGGTTGGTCTCTGGCTTATTCCTGTCCCAGCTGGACTACGGTGATACCATTTATAGATTTGCCTGTCCCACTGTTTTGGCCAAACTTGACCCACTTTACCATGCTGCACTGCGTTATATATCAAATGCACCCTATAGGACTCATCATTGCACACTGTATAGCCTAACTGGATGGTCCTCACTTACTATGCGTAGGATGCAGCACTGGTTTTTATTAATGTATAAAGCCATTTTAGGTAAGCTTCCACTCTACATATGTGTCAGATTTGCCCCAGTTTGTGACTCTTACAACCTCAGATCCAGTGCCTGGATACGGTTCCAGGTACCTACTGTACGGACTGAGGCTGGAAAAAGGAGTCTTTTTTATTATGGTCCTTGGTCTTGGAATGACCTTCAATCACGCCTTAAACTGAGGGCACTTGTCTCTATATCATGTTTTAAATTGAAGTTGTCTGAAGTCCTCACCACCAGCTGCTCTTGCAGTAACAAGTAGTGTACTTTTTTTATTGTCCTAATGTGCACAATGTAGTGACTGCTTTTTCGTCTTTTGTTTTCTTTGTTATGTTTTCTGTATTTTATATGTTTGTGTTATGTGTTATGTGTAACGTTGCTGCCTTCTTGGCCAGGTCAGCATTGAAAATGAGATTTTATCTCAATGTTTTTATCTGGTTAAATAAAGGTTAAATAAAATAAAATTGTGTTGCACTGTTGGAGAAGCCTGTGACACAAGATTTTCATCGGCATAACTACACTGTAGCTGTGTTCGCATGACTAAATAAAGAACCTTCAACCTTTAAGGACGTTTTATTCCTGTTTCATCATGACAACTCCCCAATGCATAAAGTCAGTTATGATGTTTTTCCTAGTTCATGGAAGAACTGAACTGCCATTAAAAACCTCCAAAAGGACCATGAGGTTGAATCACCAGCTCTCTAAAATAGTTTCTAAAGAAACCTCAACTTATAACCTTCATGGAGCAAGGATTGTTTGCAAGTCTGTTGAAAGAAACTGCAGAGTGAGCAGGTGTACAGTAAACTGAGTAGTGAGTTTATAAAGTACATTCTCAATTGGTAAACTATAAAACAGCCAGACTCATGACAGCTGAGAAATTAGGGGAACTAATCACATGAATGCAAAACTCTTGTATGAACATAAAATAGGTAGTCATTGGCCCGTTGTCTACAATAGAGAGTAATACATATTAAAAAAGGACAGCCCTATCATCGAGTTGAGGTATGTTTTGCTGTTCTGGATCACACATGGGGCAGCTTTTGTTTGTGCAGACAGCTTGCCTTTTGCTTTCTTTTAATTAGCAGCGTGTCTCTGTGCAGGTATGATGAGGATTACAGTGTGTCACATTAACAACACAGCATTCAACGGAAGCGATGCTCTGTTGACTGCGCTTCACTTTCATGTCACATTTGTTTTAATTCCCACGTTTTTTTTAAACAACTGCTGTGTGGAAAAACTCAATCCTGAATAAGCTGATTCAACACTTGTGCCTCCAAAGCGCATTGAACCAGCACATCTGAGCCAAGGAAATGTGAGAACTGTATTTTCTTTCATCTCCATTTCTTTCAAGATCCATTTCCTGTTAATATTGAGCAGGTTGTTTTGCTGTTATTCAGGGTGAGAAATCAACTCAAGCCAAACGCTGGTGAAGTCTGGCGTTGGCTGAGGTTTATATTTACCTCCCAGCTAGTTGGCGGGGATCCAGTGCTGGTTTGAAGGTTATGTTTAATCCAAAAGGTCAAACATTGCTCGTCAATAAGGGAATCTGGAAGCGTTTGTGGCCCTAGAGCGAAAAATGATAATGTTGTGCCTGATGTGAATGTTCATATATTTGTGCAGATGAGTCACAGAATGTTCAGAGTAAAGTGCACCCGGCTTTAAGGCTGAGAAGTGGAGGAGCTGCTGGCCTGTTGCCAGGGAGCACACAGTGAAGTCCATTTCATTTCTCCTGCTCCTCGCACTGCCTCCAAAGAAAATGACCACTGGCAGGGATCAGGGAGGATGTCTTTTGTGAAAGTAACACTGTTGCAGCATAAACAGAAGGAAAAGGAAAATGTTCCTGCCGGTGACATCCCCTCCCCAGTCTCTCCTCCTGGTTAATTTCCTCGGAGCCTGCAGGCCAGCCGGTAGGGGGATTTGACAGAGGACTTCTGACAATCCTGAGGAGAGCTGACACCGAGAGCGCCCGTCCCTCCATCGCTCGCGGCCAGATTGGAAGATGCTCAGCATGCAGAGAGCAGATGAGACAAACCAGAGGAGCCAGGAGAGCTGTTCGTGCAAAGCTGGCTGAGGGACACTGAGCACACACTGCCACACAGAGGCTGGAACTCACACCTCAGCCTGAACACAATGTCTCAGCCACTGAACACAGCTGCGCTCACCAGAATAATGTACCCCATTTCTGATGTTCATAAGATAGACACCAGGATCATTTTACAGTAAGATAGAATGATAATAAACTACAACTTTTTCTTTATTCATAATACCCTATGACTTTATAACTATACGTTTTTGTTTTTTTAAACATTAATCTATGAGTTATATGTGGTATGTTGATATATATACATTTTTTGCATTTTTCACTATACTTTACTCTGATTTTTTTATGTCGTAATATACATTACCAGTACATTTTATGTATTTTTATTAGGGCTGTCAAGTTAACGCGTTAATAACGCGTTAACGCAAAAAAAAATTAACGCCACTAATTATTTTAACGCGATTAACGCATGTGTATTTTTTGTCCTCGGCCGCCCCGTAGTTTCAGAGCGCATCGAGTTTAAAATACCATCTACAAGCTGATGCTGACAGCCCCGCTCCTGCTGCCCGCTTGTGGCAGACCACACTTCCACGCTCACCGGCAGGCCCGGACTGGCCATCGGGAGGACCGGGAGGGAGTGTGTATGTGTGGGGCGACTCGCGCGAGCGAGGCACACCTTACGTGTTGTTGTTGTTAGCATCTGGTGCTAGCTAGCTGCGCTAACGGATATAAGGAGCTGTTTCAATGACATTTCGCCGACAACTGCGCCGAGCACTTGACTTTATGCAGGTAGCCAGACAGTGGGACATTGTACGAAAAGTCAGCATACTCAGCACGGATAGTGCGCGCAACATGATTGCAGCTCCCGTTCGAGCATATATGCCTTGAGCTGCACATAGCTCCAACGATCCATCAGTGTCTCCACCCACCCACACACACCCACACACACACACACACACACACACACACACACACACACACACACACACACACACACACACACACACACACACACACACACACACACACACACACACACACACACTTTGTATTGTATTATTGTATGAGAGAGGTTCTAGGTTGAATTGAGGCGAATATTTGTAATGTTCAGAGGTTGTTGTGTTTAATATTCATGAGAATATTTGTCATTGTTCAAATGATAATAAACAAACATATAAAGCATATTTGTCCACTCATATGTTGATAAGAGTATTAAAAACTTGAAAAATATCCCTCTAAGGTACATTTAGAACAGATACAAAATGTGCGATTAATTTGCGATTAATCGCGATTAACTATGGACAATCATGCGATTAATCGCGATTAAATATTTTAATCGACTGACAGCCCTAATTTTTATATATTTCGTATCCATATATTACACATTTTTGTGATTTTTTTCTAACATGCTATAGGCCTACTGGGATTTTTGATCATATTTTTTAGACATACTTTTATTTATACTACTATTTATTTTATTAGTTTTTCAATACAGGCCATATTATGAATTGTTATGGCATAATATAAAATAACTTTGTATGACTATTCTTCATTTCATAATACACTATGGCTTCATGACATTTTAGAGTATACATTTGCTATAATATTTAATTGACATTATAAACTATGACCTTTATTCATATCTTTATGTTATACTGTACTAGGACTTTTTATAGTTTACTATAGATTACCATAGTTTTCATAGCATACTATAAAATGACCTAATTACATTTTTATGGCAGACTATAATAGGACTTTTTTTATCATATTTGTTATGGCTTGCTATACTATGACACTATGTATGACATTTTTTTATGCAATAATACTTTTCTGACATACCATATTACTATACAGCTAAAAACAAGCACAAAAAAGCACACTGTGTTTTAAATACAAGCAAGTGAACACATAGATGTATAAATATATATAAAGCAGCAAACAGCATGCAATGTCTTTATAAAAAGGCAAGTGATGGTATGCAGAAGCACATCCAAGAAGAATTCAGCTTTTTTGTTGGGATCCGTTGAGGGAAATGCAGCCCTGCAGACTTGTCTGTGTCTCTGATATCAAAGGTGATATGAACTCTGTCTCTGTGTGTAACTTAGCTTTTTAATGGAGCCCCATTTGAAATGCGGCACCAATTGGC